TCTGTCACACAGGGAAGAATTCACATGCTTTCAGAGGTGGGTACCTTGTCTCTGGGGGGAGCTGGACAGTCAGCCAGCAGAAGTTTCCAAGATCATGTCTGTCATGCCCAGCCATGCATTCATTTCTGCTGGGAATACTGTGGATGGGGTGGGAGAAGACCCAGGCCCTTGGGCCCCACCTCACCCCACCAGGTCAGAAGGGGACAGCCCAGGCTGGGGTGAGCTGTAGCTGTGGATACTGCTGTGGAGGAGGGGTCAGAGGAGGCTGGCATAGGGAGGGAGCAGGAGACAGGGTTCACACGCAAACATCTGGGCAAAGTGAGCCTGGTGGCTCAGGAACCTGGGTCTTTGTCTGGGGCTGGAAGGGGTGGTGGCAGGTGCCACACAGGGTGGTTAGTGGAGAGCCTTGAGGACATAGCCAAGGATTTGAGTCCGTTTTGGTCTCTGTACTCTGGGCTTTGGTCCCGCCTCTCCTCCCTCGTGGAGGGGAGTGACCATCCCTCCCAGGGATGATGACTCTGTGCTGGAGTCAAATCCTTGCTTCCCAGGCTATGGGGGCAGACAGGCCCCATCTGAGCAGCCCAGGTCAAGGTCAGGGTGGTATGGTAGCCGGTGCCCTGTTGGAGGGAAGAGATACGAGGACCAGAGGGATTCTCTGGGAGTGGGCATTCATGGCCTCTTCTCCAAGACCCCCAGAGACTTTGTCCTGTATCTCTACCCTACAAGAGTGCACTCTGCCAGGTTCAGAAAAGCCTGAGGGATTTTGGGGAATTCATCCAAGCTGCTGGTGAGCTGATGACGATCACGGCCAGTCTGCTGTCTGTGTCTCCTCCCACCTCGAACTCCATCTTCCCGGTGGGCCTCCTGGAGGGAATGAAGTCATTGTTCCCCACAACTCAGCCCATGGGTGGGGAATCCCTGTGGGCCCAGAAGGGAGGGTCCATCCGCTCGTCCCTCTGCTCTGCACTCCACAGAAGCTTCTGGCTCTAAGAGTGATGGCCTCGGCCACACCGTGGGCGTCTTCCCCCCCCGCACAGCCCAGGGCCAATCCTTGGCCAGTGTGTGAGTCTCTGTGTGTCCACCTCTGGACCAAGTGGAGGTCCTCCCGCTGCATCCGGTGGGGACCGGGACCAGACGGCCCTGGGAACAGCCAGCTCTGACTGGAAGGCAGGTCTCCGGGGCACGTCAGGAAGAAGAAGGCACATCTGGAAAAGCGTTTGTTGAGGCCGCTGCTCCGGCAGGGCCAGACAGTGCCCAGGCCTCAGGGGCGGGGGAGGGGGGCAGTCTCCCCACTTATGTAGCCTGGCTCAGGCCTGTGGGTTCTGGAGGCTAGGCCCACACCACTGCCCATGGGAGGGCTGCGGAGCCTGAGCCAGGCCGCACGGAGGGAGAACTGGGTGGGGGAAGCGCTCTCCTTGGAGCCCAAGCTCCCCAGCTGGTGGGGCTGCACGGGTGACTCCCAGCTTCTCCACGTACCCACTCTCTCCCTGATGCTCCCTTCCCCATGCACCCCTGACCCTACCCAAATTATGTTGGGAAGTTGCAGGTGGTCCTCACACACTCACCCCTCACCCATCCTAGGGCCTCTGAGGCCAGCTTCCCCAGTCCTTGTACTTGTTCCTGGGCCAGCAGAACTGGGGTTTCCTCTTAGGGGCCCTGATAGGCTGGCAGAGAACCAGACTGGGGTTCCTGAGTCCCCCAGCTCTGTCATTCCTTGGCAAACCACTTACTGTCTCAGCCTCCCAGGGTTGTGGTGAAGAGGGGCCTTCAGATAAAGCCTGTTTCCATTTTTTCCTTCCCTGGTTGGGCTGGATTTGTGGCTGACCAGCGACGATCTGTGGCTCCCCCGTCCCCATTGGAATGGTCAGGACACGGCCACAGAGGCCCTTTTGCAGAATGGGAGATGGCGGGCCAACGAGGAGAGATGCCTGCCGTTGTTCTGGAGATGCCTACACTCTGATGGCGCCTCCTGCTGATGGCAGTGCCTTCATCCAAAGGAAGGCAGCTGCCACGCTGGCCTGGGAGAGGGGGTAGGAACTGCAGGGGGCTGGAGGGTACTGTCCCGAGGACCCTCGTAATATTCTGAGATTGGTGGCTGCCTAATTTCCCTGGGCAAATTGCTTTGTCACAACCCCTCCACATCCCCCATCTCCTGCCCAGCTCCAGATGGACGTGGGCCTCTGGCAAGTACACACTCACACACATATGCCCCCACTGTCACAAGCTTGGTCACCCACACAGAACCTGCAGGCTCATATGCTGGGCTTCAGGGGGACAAGGAGCTGGGCCATCGATTTGTAGTTGTTCCCCCAGTGCCCAGAATGGTGTCTGGCGCTTGAAAAGTGCTCAATAATTATTTATTGGGTGAATTAGTACTTCCCAGGCGACCCTCAACCCCATGCACAATAACACAAGATGCCTGGATCCTGACCTGGCCCGTGGACACTGTCACAGAACCCGAAGCCCACACAGGCCTGTGCAGACTCCTGTTCCTGTCTCTGGGGTGCTGCACAGAACCCGAAGCCCACACAGGCCTGTGCAGCCTCCTGTTCCTGTCTCTGGGGTGCTGCGCCCCCACACCAGTCTGTCTAGTGGTCCCTGTGGGGCTGGTCAGCTCTCCCCCCGCTGCCTCCCTCGAGCCCTCCTGGCTAGGTCCCAGCACCTACTGGCGTCAGAGCTGGTCGCTGCCCAAGCCAAGGGTGTGTGTCCCTCTTTGGTGGACATGGAGTCCGTGTCTTGAAGGGAACAGTCCTGCTCCAGAAGACCCTGCTCTGAGGTGCATCCCAACCTTGTCCTCAGAGCCTGGTCTGCGGGTAAACAGGCCATCCGCCAAAGCCTGAGAGTGCGGGAATCCTGGCCACGTGGAGGGAGCTCTGGTCGGAGGCTTGGAACTGACCAGAGGACCCTTTACTGAGGGGCATGGTGGCCACTAGGCCACGGGGCCAGGGCTAGGGAGCAAGGAGCCTCCCAGGGTGTGGAGAGCCGAGCTGGGCCTGCCCAGAGTGAAGGATGTGGAGGAGGTTCCGGGAAGTGGCCCAGTGGGGCTGGCTCCCTCTCTCAGACGGTTAATAAGGCACCAATTACCTTCGGCCACAGGGCTCTCTGGACAGGCTGGGCCCGTCGCCACCATGCTGCCTCCCTGCCTCACGTCCACTCCATCCTGTATTTACAGACACTTAGGTGTGCTTAGGGGCACACAGCTTCCCGCAGCTCCACCCCAGAGGGCCTCCTCTCCCAGTAAACACCAGGCTGACCGCTGACCCCACGGCGAGGGCAGCTCTGGTGCGCTGCAGTCAGGCAGGAGGGAGGCTAGTGAGGGCCAGCATCATCTTCTGCAGATGGCCCCTGGACACGCGCAGAACTCAGAGAAGCCCTTCCCCTCACTGGGCCTCAGTTTCCCACCTGTAAAATGGGGAGAAGCCAGCATTCTCGTGGTGTACATGAGGTAGGGCTGTGGTGAGGCAGGTAGGAGAGCGCTGGGAAGGCCCTTCCCTCGTGGGTCCAACCTCACCCTGGGCCCCACCTGGCTCCTCTTCTCATAGGATAACGTGCAGCAGGCTGGTGGCCCCTCACCGGACTCCTGGCCCATGGGTTCAGTCTCTTCTCATTTCCTCGGCTGCCTCCGGGCGTCTGGTTTGGGGCCGCACAGGGTAGAGGCTGGACTACGGGGCGGGGTGGGGGTGTGGATGGTCTGCAGGGCAGCCTCTGCCCCTCCCCTGCTGGGGACACTGTCTGATCCCTCCCCCAACCCCTCCTGCTTGCTCATCTTTCTCTTTTGGACTCTTGCCTCTGGGTCCAGTCCCGTCTCCCCTCTGTCCAGGTTGTCTGTTCACCCTGCACGCCCTCTCTGTCTCTTACTCAGCCGGACCCACCTCCCGGTCTCTGCCTGGGGATCTGGCCCTTTCACTTCCACTTCTGCTGATTCTTCTTCTCTGTCCATCCTTCTCTCTCTGTCTCCTTTCCCTCAACCTTCTCTCTGCGTCTTTCCGTCCCTCACTTTCATGCTCCCTCGTCCCCACTGCCAACCCCAGGCCTCTAGTCTCCAGATTAGTCTGCCATTCCTTCTGTCTCCCCTGTAGTCCGCCAGAATGACAGTCTTTGAGACGAACATCCTCACCTGCCTTCCTTCCTCCTCTGCTCATCTGCTCATCTCCTCTTCCTCATCTGCTCCTGCCCCAAGATCATTTGCTCAAATTGCTCCAGAAGCTTGAGGGCTCCCAGAGTGGGGGCCTTCCATATTCTCACCTATCTCAGGCCTGCCCTTGACCGGAGTGTTGGGGGTGGTCCACAGACAAGCTCTCTGTACCCTCTGGTGTTGCCGGGTCTCCATCAGCTGAGATCTGGCTGGTGGGGCTGGGGGCCCTGGGCTATTCCTACAGTGACATCCAGTGGCCAGGTCTGAACCAGGTGTGGAGGCACAGACAGCCCCTAGGAACCCCAGGACCTGTGGGCTCCAGGCTAACGTCACTCTGGAGTGGGATGGGGATGCCAGGCCAGCAGGGTCATGGTGCCCGCCTCCTGGAGGGCAATGGCCACCTGCTGATCCCTGCCGCTCACCCTGCCCTGTCCATTGGAGGCCTGGCTTTGCCTTCCGGCACCCCTGAGCTTTGCACACAGGGCGGGGACACCTGGATTTCTCTGGCCCCCTGAGTGGGGCCAACTTGGAGGAATTTCTCAAAGCCTATTAGAGCAGTGGCTGCCTCCTGCCTGCCTCCTCGGGCTGGGCAGGGCTGAGGGCGGAGGGAGAGAGGGAGGGAGGGGAGAGAGGAGGAAGGGAAAAAAAGTTGGCAGTCCGACAGCAGAGCTGTGTCTGCATCCATGGCTGAGAGGAGGCCTGTGCACTGTGGGGCGGGCCAGGAGCAAGGAGAGGCCTTCCTCCCTTTGTGCTCCCCCCTTCTCCTCCCCCCGGGGCCCTATAAATAGGCCCAGCCCAGGCTGTGGCTCAGTTCTCAGAGGGAGGCGAGCACAGGCAGCGGTCTCAAGCCAAGCCCCCTGCCAGCATGGCCAGCGAGTTCAAGAAGAAGCTCTTTTGGAGGGCGGTGGTGGCCGAGTTCCTGGCCATGACCCTCTTCGTCTTCATCAGCATCGGTTCAGCCCTGGGCTTCCAATACCCAATAAAGAGCAATCAGACGACAGGTGCAGTCCAGGATAACGTGAAGGTGTCACTGGCCTTTGGGTTGAGCATCGCCACGATGGCCCAGAGTGTGGGCCACATCAGCGGTGCCCACCTCAACCCAGCCGTCACGCTGGGGCTTCTGCTCAGCTGCCAGATCAGTGTCCTCCGGGCCATCATGTACATCATTGCCCAGTGCGTGGGGGCCATCGTCGCCACTGCCATCCTCTCGGGCATCACCTCCTCTCTGCCTGACAACTCGCTTGGCCTCAATGCGGTGAGTGGGGTGGCCCCAGGCTCTGGGGGCTCTAGAATGGTGCTGAGATGGGTTCGTCTCATCCTCCACCCATTGTGCAGATGGGGACACTGAGGAACAGAGAGGATGAGAGGTTGTGGGAGGTCAGGCAGAGCTGTACCTGGAACTCAGCTAGAGTCTGTTTTTTGCCAGGCACTGTGGGAAGCTGAGACCCAGAGCATAATGGTCTTGCCATGTCCCCTGCGGGTCTCTATTGTGGGGAATAAGCTCTGGAGGCAGCTAACAGTGGGGCCAGCAGCTCCTCACCCCTGGGCTGCAGTTTCTTCCCCTCCCTCCGCTCAGCCCCGTCTGGGCAGTGGCTCCCTCCCCCAAGCAGCCTGGACCCTCTTACACTCTGCCTGCTGCCCCCAGTCTCCCTGGACCACACATCCGGCATGTCTGCAGCTGGCCCCACAATCCTGTGTGAGCAGAACTCTCCCAGAGGGGCTCCTCAAGCATCTAGGCAGCCCCACCTTCACACAGGTCCCCAAACAAACTGCCTTCAAGGAAAAAGCTCCTCTTGCTCTGCTGGCTCCGGGAATGGGACAAAGATGGGAGGTAAAAACAGTTTCAGGACAGCCTGCAGGTGACTTTCCTGGATTGCAGCAAATGGTGGGGGCCAGAGCAGGGACATCTCACCTCCGCTCTGATGGAGATGCACATCTCCCATCTCTGGGTCTGTTGTCTATCACCGGACCCAGAGAGGTGTGGCGCGTGTATTTGTGTCTGTGAGCAGTGTGTGCACATGTGGATGCCGGCATGGGTCTCCGAACCTGTGAAAGTTGGCTGTGTTACTTCTGAAAGTGTATCTGTGAGCGTGTCAGTGCTGCGGTGTAAGTATGTCTGGAGGTGAGCGCATACCTGCGTGTGCCCACTGCTCGGGCCTGACCTGGGGGCACTCATGATAAGCAGATGTGCGCGACTGGGTGGAAGCTGCAGAAAAGAATTCCTCCCGGGCCGCTTAGCACAGCTAATTGGCCGTTGGCAGGCAGCTGCCTGCTGTCGCCGACCTGGGCTTTTCCAGACCCTCAGCCAAGTGCAAACTCAGACCTGGCTTGGGCCACAGCAGGGGGAAAATTTGGCCTGAGAGGCCAAGGAAGGCTTGGAGGAGGTCTCAGAGTGCCCAAGGAGGTGTTTTCACAGGGAGGGAGAGAGAAGGAATCAGATCAGGTCTGGGTTGGCGGGGCCTGGGCAAGGCAGGCGGGTGTGGGGACAGCTAGGGAGCTGGCTAAAGGCTCCACAGAAAGAGCGGCAGGGTGATTAGACAAGAAAACGTCCTCCCGCTTCCCAGCCAAAGTCCAGATCCTGGTGCTACGGCTGCAAAGGTCCACGCAGATGGCAGTTGGCATGACCCTGCCAAGCAGGGATTAGCACTCCTTGTGTCACCGTGACACTTCACCCAGTCCAGGATTGAAGGTTAGCCCTTCGGGCTGGAATTTAAACTTTAGTCAAGGAAGATGTGGTCTCTGTGGGTGTAAGGTCCTCCAGGCCTGTCTCTCTAGTGGGGGCAGAGCCGGGCAACCTCAGGGTGTGCCCAAGGAGTAGGGTCAGGATCACCGCAGGGCTCAGCTGGGTATGATGGGCAAGGGGAAGGATCCTTCCTGGGGATGAATAGGGTCTCCCCGGGCCTTCTAGCCCCCTCTTGACCTTCCTTCTCCAGGGCGAGTCAGGCCAGGCATCTGCTGGTGACTCTGTTCTCTCACACAGGCATCCCAGGCAGACTTGAGGAGGGCAAGCATCCCTGTGCAATCTTGATCTGGCCACACCCTGATTCAGTGTCTTTTCCCCTCACCAGCCTCCATGTTTCTAGTCTCCCCAATACCTGAGCTGGGTGGGTTTGCAGGAGAGGGAGAAAAGGGAACTCAACCCTGGGCAGGGAAGCAGACAAGTTGGGTTCAAGGCCTGGCTGCTTACTTGTTGACTTTCTTGGAGCTGAGAGCCCTTAAGTCTCCAAGAGGGGACCTAGGTCTCTTGATATCTCTTGGCCACACCCATACTGCCAGCAAGCTCACTTTGTGGACTTGAGTTTATCACTCTTCACAGGAGGGGCTGGATAAGAGGAGCCCAAGAAGTGCCAGGCTGAACATAAGGGCAGTGAATACTGAGGTGGGAGCCCAGGGATTGCCCTGGCCCCACCATGGAAGTTTGGGGTTCAGAAACACGTGTTTTGGGTTGAAGAACTCAGAAAGGGTTCAGAACACTGAGCCTGGGATCTAAAGGGGCCTGGGAGGTGGCCTCAATACCTCAAGAAGGGCACAGATGAGTCTACACAGCAGGCGACATGCTCTTTCCTCCAAGCTCTAGGAGAGGTTTCCCCTAGACCCTTGAGTCCCGGGCCTCTCCCAGCCCAAACCAGTCGTTGGCATGGAGATTTTCAAGGAAAATAGGGAAAGAAGTGGCAGGAAGTGGTTGGAGTGAGTCAGGGGGTGTCCCATGGGGATATGTTGGAGAAAACTTTCTCCTCACTGAGTCAGGGCTCAGGATATGCCCTGGAGAGACCATGGACCTCTCTCCATCCTGCCACATCCTAGCTGGTTCTCAAAACCAGACCCTGAGTTTATTTCTAGAGTGAAAGATAGGCAGCAGCTGGTGCCTGGCCTGCCCTGTCCTAGTTCAGCGACTAATACAGTGTGATTTCAGGCAAGCCACGTCATCTGTGTGGTCCAGGTCCCATCTGTGGAATGGGTGTATCGCAAGGCGTGGCTGGGAGCTGGGAAGTAGAAGATGCTCTCAAACCTTGAAATTCTGACAACTCACCAGCTCGTTTCACTCTTCCCCTCTCTTGCTTGCTCACCTATGTCTGCTGCAAACATGACTTTCACTACTGCAGACTAAATTCGGGGCTGAGTCAGGCCGCTCCCTGCTCTGAGAAGTCCATGGTCCCGAGCAAGATAAGGCCACTGCGCATCTGTCAATGATAGGGGGCAGGAGGCAGGTGTGATAAGACGTGTCAGGGCACCTGGGAACTTCTGACCTCGAGCTGTGGTGAGGGCCAGGAGGCCTTCAAGGAAGAGGTGTCCCGGGAGCCTAAAAGTAGAGATTCCAGGGTGGAAGGAAGGGGTTTCCTGCAGAGGAGGTCATGGTCTGAGAATCACAGGGTGTGGCTGATGTGGGGGTCGGGTTGGGAGATGGATCATGGTGGGAGGCTGACGCTCTAGAGAGCAGTGAGGATTCAGGATTCAGGTCGGTGTCTGCCTGCGTCCCGGAGCCTGTGGATTCAGCCCCTTTGGGAGCTCAGGCAGAGTGCAAACCTCCCTTATTTGGGGGTCTTTTCTCAGCCCCATTGAAGATGGGCCTGACTGCCTGGGGAACCACTTCTACTTGTTGCGTCTGGGACCTGACTTTAGCCCCAAACTTTCCGCTTCCCCAGCTTCCTGAGCCTCCGTTTTCCAACCACAGAATGAGGGCACCCCCAACCCCCCAACCCCTCTTCCCCACGCCACCAGGTCTTCCAGCGTTGAGAGCCCTCCGCCTCCCCCGGAGTTGAGGGTGGACTGGGGAAAGGGAAGCCAGTTTTCCGATGGCCCTGTCCAGGGAGTGGGCTGGGGGCTGGGTGGTGGTGCCACAGATGGGACATGTAATTACTGTTTCCAGCCAGAGCCCGATGAGGGGGAAGCGCAGAGAGAGGCAGGAGCTTTGCGGTGGAGACTTTCCTTACCATGGAAAATTCTGAGGCGGTTTCCCCATTAGAGCCCTTGGAGCCGCCCTGCCAGCCCCATATCGTCCATCATGACACTGGCCCCTAACCAGGGCTTGCTCTGGGAATCCTCCTGTGAAGAGACTATGCCCTGAGAGGGGATATGGCCCACCAGGGTCCCTCAGACTGCGGGACAAGGATTCACCTTGTGCCATTGTTCTCCCCAACCCAGGTCACAGCCTTCCCTCACTGCATTAGTGCACGCCAATCCCATGCAGTCTCCCCCAACCTGACCTCAGGCCCACATGGTGTTCCCCACTTTCTCTAGGGCCCCACCCAGCAGGGTGCCTTTAGCCTTACCCTCCTAGGGCTTCCCCCAAGCAGCTCAGACATGCCCCCTGCCTGCACCTTGAAGACTGGTTTGGGCAAGCTTTCCTGGAGGCACAAGGAGCCCTTGGTTCTTGCTTGCAGAGCCCCCCTGGGGGCCAAGGTCCCTGCCCTCTGGAAGAACGGATGTATCTGAGGTCTCCTGAATGGGTGTGGGCTGAGGCCACACAACTGCAGATCAGGGCAGGCAAAGTTCCCTCAGCCAGACCCTCTGTCCGGGTTCAGAGGGGCTCCTTAACCCTGGTGGTTCCCCAGGGGTGAGTGAGGGGCTCCCTTCACACATCCGAGGAGCTGCGGGCCAGTGCGCAAGTACACCCTGAGGCTGAAAACAACTCACAAGCTGGTAGCAAAGGCGGGAAAATGCCCGTTTCCATAAGCACGTGCTTTCAGTGCCTGAAACCCCACCATCAGGACAACCTGGGGCTGGTGTCTGCTCAGGGTAAAGAAAGAACTTACTATTTTAAATTGGCGAGGGACAGCTTCCAAATCAACAAGTTCCTGGTCACCAGGGCTGTGCAGGTAGGGTGCGTCGGGCAGCTGTGGCTCTGAGGCATGTGGCTCTTGTTGGGGGGGGCAGTGGTGGGGGCCATCTAACAGTTCCAGGTGGGCGGGAGGCCCTATGACAGGCTCTGTGCCATGCGGAGACGGGCCGTTCACATGGCCAGGTGGGAATCCTGCACTCAGGACCCTAGCCTGGAGGGTGACCACAGGTCTTGGGGGAAGGGGCCCCATATCAGGCAGCAAGGAATCCTAGAGACAGTTTGGGGCTATAATCTATAGGTTGAGGCCTCCATTTTACTGATAAGGAAACCACGGCTCACAGATGGGTGGAGTCACTCAAGATTGTGCAGCAGATGATGGTGGAGCAGGACTGTGACCCCAGCCGCCTGCCTACAACCCGTGAAAATCTCTGCAAATTGCACATACTTAACGCTGCACTGGCAGACATGTGTGCGTGCACGGTCACAGCGATATGATGCACACAGGAGCACACACACACACACACACACACACACACAGGCAGGTGCGAAGCACATTTTGAAGCCTGGGTGGTCCCCCTCAAGCCCTGGGACCCTAGGAGGGTGGAGTGGGGGTCCCTCAATGGTACCTCTTCCTTTCCCAAGCAGGAAGGCGGGGGCTGCCCTCGAGCGAGGAAAGAAGGAAGGAGGGAAGGAGGAAGCCCTTGCTTTGTGTATTGTTCCTTGTCAGGAAGATGAAATGGCTTCTGAGAGCAAATAAAGGGCGCTTTGAGACCTGCTTCTTTCTCTTTTACTCAAGGGTGCTTCCATCCCTTCTCCTCCCCCATCCCCAGCCAGCGGTGGACATGTATGTGGGAAGGCAGCACACGGGGACAGGGTGACAACTCAGAAATGCCACTAGACTCACAAGACAGACACCGAAGGCCACACAGAGAGCCCTCCCTGCCCCACCCCCAGAGCCCACCTCTGTAAGAAACGGCGTCCTGCCTAGTAGGGTTAATACATGACTAGTTTGAATGTCCCCCATGGGCTAAAAAGAGGGTATATTCTTGAATTTGGAAGTGCAGGGCTTATGTATTTTCCTTAAATCAAGCTTGTTAGTTATGTGGTTCAAATCTTCCCTGTTCTTGCTATTTATATTATTGACACTTCCCTCCGTCGGTTTCTAAGAGAGGGTTGTTAAACCCCTTCACTATGGCAGTGGATTGATCATTTTCTTTTTGTAATTCTGTCAACTTTTGCGTCACCTATTTCTAGGTTGTATTCTTTAGTGCATACAGGTTGAGAACTTTTATAACTGTTAGATAGACTTTTCACTTACTTAGTGTCTAATAAACCTCTTAATGTCTAAGGAAAAAGAAGAGTCACACCTGGACATACGTGGTCACTCAGAGACTCTGCAGAGAGCAGTGTAGAGAGACATAGAGAGGCACACAAAGCAATGGATACCCAGAGGCACATGCGCGCTTGAAAAATCACTGATGAAAGGGTGATACTTGGGGAGGGGGCTCACTGAGGTCCCCCTCACTGGGATACTGAGTCCTGCAGGCAGCGGGTGGGTGGGGCAGTCCTTGATGTCTTGTTCTTTAATGGATGCCCAGAGCCCAGCCAGGCCTGGTTCAGGAAGGGTGGGACACCAGGATGCTCAGGTCATGCTGGGGCCTTGGGCCTCAGAAGTCACTTTGATCAGTCTGCTCATGGGCAGCAAGGGAGAGGAGGGTTCGAAGTTCATTGCCTATAGAGGCCAGTTCTGTGCCACCCTGGGGCCTGGGACAACCTGGCAGCTACAGAACATCTTCTGCCAGCTCCTCAGTCTAAGGTGGCAACAGAGAGGATCTTTAGCCAGATGCATAGGTAGCCAGCACCTTTGCCTGTGAGCGTAGGCAGCATATACTCTGGGGCAAGAATTCTGGTGTTGCCATCTCCTTCCTAGGCCTTGACCTCTGCATCTGTAATCTCACAGAGTCTTGAGCAGGCTGCTCTACAAGGTCCACAGAGACTAATACTGGCCTGCAATCTCCCAGCTAGAAAGCAAATGAACCAGCCCTGGCTCTGGAGAACTTCCCTCTACAGTGGGTGGAAATGCTAGAAAATTAACATAATCTGCCACTTCTTTTGGGGGAGAGGGGCCACACCGAACAGCTTGGAGGATCTTACTTCCCTGACCAGGAATCGAACCCAGGCCCTCAGCAGTGAAAAGTGCAGAGTCCTAACCACTGGGCCTCCAAGAAATTTCCTTGTCTGCCTCTTCTGTCTCCACACAGTAAGTGTCCCTTTGAGGTCTGGGCAGGGAGATGAGACGGTGTCCACATTCTGTCCCCACTGAGTTCCCAAGCCAGGGGTTCTGAGGCACCCGATAGGCGACAGAAAGGTTACTTTTCTGCAAGATTTGCAAGCTGTTTAGTGAGGGCTTGATGAGTGGAAGCAGAGGTTAATTCCATCCAGGGACCTGAGAAAACTTCTTGATACTGAATTGGAATTGATGGTGGAATCTGAACTGGACCTTGAGAGTGAGCTTCAATGGGTTTGATATAAAACTGGAGAGTTTGCATCTCTCTGATGCTTAAGATTAAATGTCTGGCTTTTTCTCTTATTTATACTTGTGCTCCGAAAATTGTTACCCCCCCCCCTTTTTTTTGGCCTTAATTAGTGAAATATAAGACCTAGGCTGGGCAAAATGCTCTGGGGATGTGCAAACTTTTTTTTCAATAACAAGTAACCACAACTGGGATTAGCCCTATTTATGCAATTGTGTCAATTTCAACAGGTTGTAAACAGGAACACAGGCTTCTCAGGTGGCTCAGGGGTAAAGAAGCTGCTTGTCAAACAGGGGATGCTGGTTCGATTCCTGGTCTGGGAAGATCCCCTGGAGAGGGAAATGGCAACTGGCTCCAGTATCCTTGCCTGGAGAATCCCATGGACAGAGGAGCCTGGAGGGTTACAGTCCATGGAGTCGTAAAGAGTCAGAAAAGACTTAGAGAGATGAAATAACAACAATAGCAACAACATCAGAACATAGGGTCTGAATTTTTACTTGCTTTTTTCTGGACGTCAAACTTCAGCAGACCTTAAACTATCCGTTTCAATTTGGAATGATCGATTTTTTTCTCAGACGTAAGTAGCACAACTTCTTAGGCAGTTCAAAGAGAGATCACAGAAGCAGTCAGGGGAGGCTTCCTGCTGATGGTGGTGGTGGTAATGGGTTTAGGGAGAGGAAATTTACTAACCCATGTGGTTCTGGGCAGTCAAATTCTAAGGGCTCTGGGCGGCTAGGATGAGGTGCATCTTAGAGTCTCCAGGGCAGGTATCACTTCTTGTGGACTGGGCATGGCACCAGGGCCCCTGGTCTGCTCACTTTGCATGAAAAGTGGTGTCCTTGGGCAGAGCAGAAGCGGAGAGGCTGAGACCTGGTTAAGAACCCGGGAAAGATGAGCTCGCCCAGACCACAACTGTGATGAGTGCGGTGGGGATGAGGAGTATGAGGCAGGAGCCACTTAGAGTGATCATTCCATTAATCAGAGTGGAAGGGCTGGTTTCAGGACTTCTGCCAGCTAGCAATTAGGCCGGCCCTGGAGAGCAAAGGAGAGCGCGTGGAGGCGCGAGGGAGGAGGAGCCCGGAGCTTCCCGAGCGCTCAGACAGGAGGGCAGCGGCAGGTGTGAATGTGATGGGCATTGGTGCCAGTTGCCTGGCCTCACCAGCCTGGCCTCCGTGGAGCCTATCTCCGCTCCAGGCGGGCCTCACTCTACTCTTCAGACTCCTGAGCAGCACAGCCCCTCCTGTTCTGCCTGCCCCACCTAGTTCTGGGGATGAGAGAAAGAACCAGAACAAAGCCATGACAACTACCCTGAGCCTGCCTGCCTCTGCAACACTTCAAATGCCCCAAGAGAGCCCCTCCCCCTCCACCCCATGCCTTAGAACTTCTGGCCTCTCTGGAGAACGGGGAAGGGAAAATTAGACCTACTTTACAGGCGGGGAAACTGAGGACCAGAGAGGGGCAAGACCATGGTCATGGTGCCAGCAAGTAGGAGAGCAGGGACCTGAACTCAGGGTCACCTCTACAGCCCCACACTGGGGTGCAAAGAAAGCTGGGTATTTCCCAGAGGGCTGGCTGAGCCGAGGGGCTGCAGCCCTGGGGTCGGCCAGGAAAAATGCGCAGAGCTGGGGCTGCAACGGAGGGGAGGGGATATGAGTCATTTTCCCTGTGATCCAGGGCGGCAGACAAAGGCGGGAAGAGAATTGTTCTTGTAAGATGGCCTCAGGGTGGGGCTGTGAAAACCTCTGGATGGTGGAGGGGTGCCCTCCACCTAGGATTCTGCAAAATGCCCTGTGGCCTTGGAGACACCCCCACCCCGCTCAGGAAGAAGGTTCAAATTCAGTCTTATTTGGACACACCAGCCCTGCCTGGGAGAAGGCAGCCTTCGTGGCCACATCCAGGCATGTTTGTGAGTGGGCCTTGGCCCACGTGGCCCAGGTCCCCTGTGTGGGCATATTTGGCCCCTGGGACTGACCCCCACATGGGGGATGGTGCACGGGCTCCTTGGGGAGGGGTCTCCTGGCTGCGGCTGCAGAGGGAGGGCTCTGGTGACCTCATGGCAGCTCCCATTCCCTTCTTTTTCCATGAGTCATGTTTCTAAAAGTGGCCCAGGAGCAAGTGGGAGCCAGACGGTGGTGGCGGGGCCTGTGTGACCAGGAGGGAGAAGGAGGGGGCAGATAGGGAGGGTGGGGCCCAAAGGAAATGGGAGAGAGACAGCAGAGGGCAGAGACAGACAGAGGTGGGAAGGAGACGGAGGTGGGGGCTGCGAGGAACACAGGCTCAGGGGAGAGATGGGCATGGGGAGCTGTGGCCAGCTAACTGCCGAAGTCCCTCTCCACCTCTGCAGGAGATGGGGTGGAATGCTCAAGATGTGGGGGTAAGAAGAAATGTCTCCAGGGGGCTCTCCTACCCATTTGCTCCTCTTCTTCTTTGACTGTCCCTGAATGTCCCTGATCATCTCTTCCCATTTCTAGGGCTTGCCTGTCACCTATGGCCTTGGTACCCCCAGTGTACCCTGGTCTGGATGTAGGTGGATGCAGAAGCACCATCCCGCCTCCAGGCCTCTCTGGCCTCTGGGGAGAATGCCATGGGATTTAGGACAAGCTGGTCCTTCCTCAACAGGTGTGGGAGGGGCCAAGGCCTGATGCTCACTGCTGGCTGTATGTGCTTGAGTGTGGTGGATGCAATGGGCTCTGAGGGCACTAGAGGTCTGGCCTTTGGTGCCGGGCCTAGGGGCCCTGGAACTCCATCTTCACTGCTCTGCTCACTGACCTCGCCGCCCCTCTCCCCTACAGCTGGCCCCTGGCGTGAACTCAGGCCAGGGCCTGGGCATCGAGATCATCGGGACTCTGCAGCTGGTGCTGTGCGTGCTGGCCACCACCGACCGGAGGCGCCGCGACCTCGGGGGCTCCGGCCCCCTGGCCATTGGCTTCTCTGTGGCCCTGGGACACCTGCTGGCGGTGAGCAGCGGGGGTGGGGCGGGGCGGGGGGTGGGTGGAAATCTTCCCAAGTAGGAGTGGTGGTGGGGAGGGTGGAGCCAGGCTGCTGGGCATGTCCCGTTGAGCCCAGGAGGTGGGACTCTGACAGGGCTCATTCCGCGGGTTGGGGGACCAGCTGCCCTGCAGAGGGACGCACAGGGCCTGGCTGACCCTCCTTCCAGGTCTGATGGTCACTGCCCTGTTTCCCCTCTGGTGTTCTTCCTCCATGTCACCCCCCCCCCCCCCCCGCCCCCGGTCTCTTTCTCTCCATCTCCTCTCCTGTTCCCCTGACCCTTCCCTCCCACAGATAGACTACACCGGCTGCGGTATTAACCCTGCCCGGTCCTTCGGCTCCTCGGTGATCACGCACAATTTCCAGGACCACTGGGTAAGGGGTCACAGGGCTGCTCCGTGCAGGTGGGAGGGAGACTTTGGTGCCTTGTGGTAGACCTACCCCCGACCCTGTGACATCATCTCCCATCACAGAGGCCCTGAGAGATGGCCAGGGGGAGGAACTCGGGAAGATGAGGCCTGAGATGAAGGGGTGGTGGGTTCACACCTCAGGCAGGGCAGTGTAGGCAGCCTCCCCTCCCAGATCAGACCATGGTCTGACCATTCCAGGTACGCTGAGTTGGGTCATACGGAAGCAAGGAGAAAACCACTACCTAAGTCCTGGCTTGGGCCAGTTGTAGGGGGTGGAGGGCTGCAGATGCTGAGATTCAGCACTGTCTTTTCTGTCCCAGGCACAGGTTGGGGAGCAGCCATGCAGTGGGGGGGTGGGGGTGGGTTGGGGCTCTTGTGGGAAGCAGGTCGCATCAGATGCCCCCTGAGCACGTCCTCTCTGTTCCTAGATCTTCTGGGTGGGGCCGTTCATTGGAGCAGCCCTGGCAGTGCTCATCTATGACTTCATCCTGGCCCCACGCAGCAGTGACCTCACAGACCGCGTGAAGGTGTGGACCAGCGGTCAGGTGGAGGAGTATGACCTGGATGCCGACGACATCAACTCCAGGGTGGAGATGAAGCCCAAATAAGTGGGCTAGGCCTGGGCATCCACCTGGGGGGTGGGGGGGCAGGGGAGGGCAGAGGGAGGGAAGGGGTGAAATCTGTATCATAGACACTCTGACAAGCTGGCCAAAGTCACTTCCCGAGGATCAGCAGGGCCTGTGTGGTCAAGCCTGACTTGGGACTGTTGCTATCACCTTCTTTCTCTTTCTCCTTTTCCCGGCTTTGGGGATCCCTGAGGACCAAGATTTTCCAATCACCCATTCCCTTGAAGTCACAAAGGAGGTGAAAGAGAGGGGCCCACCTTGCTAAGTTGTCCTCTCAGAGTGTGATGTGAGGTATGCCAGAAAGCACGCCCCCCCCATCCCAGAATTGCTCACCAGCTCATCTGCTGCAGGTGCCTGGGGCTCCTCGGTGATAGCTTTGTGCTTTCGGGCGTGGCCCTCTTTCCTGTAACGTGCGCTTGCCCCAAGGATACTCTGAGGGGGAGAGACCTCATCAAGTGCAGTGGTGGGGTCAGGGGGCAGTCAGAGCCCGTCCTTGCAGCCCGGCTGGCTTCCAGGTCCGCTCCCCCAGCTACGGAAGTGCTATACGACCTTGGGAACGTCTCAATCTTGGGGACTCAGTGACTCCATCTGTAAAGAGGCAGGGGCAGGGAGAGCTACATGGGCCCGAGACCCCTCTCCAGGATTGTGTAAGTGTAGACACACTGCACATTCTGGAAGACCTAGTCTGGCCCAGCGCTGCTTCTTCCACTTGCCCAGTATTTAGTTGTACCTACACATCTATGTGAACACATGTACATAGGCACACATGTTTCAAAGCAAAGAGCAACAGGTCATCCAACCGTAGGAAGTTCCCATTCCTAGGGAAGCAGAGCTGAGAGTGGATAGAGCCTGCTGTTGCAGAATGAAGATCATCTAGAGGGAGAGGGAGGAATGTCCAAGTTCCTTCATTGAGTTGTAGTTATCTTTTCCACCTATCACTGTATCACCCTTGTCATTATTTGGTTCTTCAGTTTTTCTTGCCAGTGCAGACACAAGTCAACATTATGTAATGGTGTGTTGACTGAAGGACACTTGGTCATCTGAAGGTCAGCCCCTGGAGACAGATGTCCTTGCTGGACCCTCAGCGAGGGTTCCGAGCCCCTAGCTGACAAGGTGGGAGGAGAAGCAGATTCCTCCCTTATTCCAGAGGTCCTGGTTGGAGGCACTGGGGGGAAGCTGGGTGACCTGCACAGGCTTCCCAGGCCATAGTCTTCCCTCTTCATTTATTTGGAGGGGAGAGTTGGTCTTGACCGAATGAAGTAGCTATGGCTGCAGCCCAAGGATAATTCTGAGCACAGTCTGTTTGTCGAGGCAGCTATCTACACATTCCATACAATTCCACCAGGGCCAGAGTAGTTCCCCCATGCCCCACGGCCATGATGGTGACAAACACTGAGAGACACAATACATAGTTTTCTGGAAGCAGCAGGACAACCAGGAGGCCCTTAACGGTCATAACACATCATGACATCCATACACTCTCTCTTCCATTTCTGAGCAAAAGCTTCTAGTCCATTTAACAGAGAAAGAAACTAGGGTCCAAGGACCCAGAGCAAGATGATGATTTGGCAGGCCTAGCAGCCAGGGCCATGTTTCTGGCTACTCCCTGGACTGTGAGACTGGGCCCTCTTAGACCCAGATCCTGCATTTCTGCCTGGGTAATGGCCAGGTGCCAGGAAGGGTGAGGGGAGTGTTGGAGGGGAGAGGGGGTGCTCCATCCCGTCCTGTTCTGGCTGCTGCACACAGGACCCTGCATCTGTCTGCTCTGCATATATGTCTCTTTGGAATTGGAATTTCATTATATGTTAAAAAAATAAACATAATATAGGTCATCCAGACTCCTTGGAATGAAGGTTTTTCTTCTTTGGGCACCATGTTCCCACAAGGGATCTCTGGGTCTGAGAACTTGGGCCCAGTCTGCGGAGGAGCCACTGTACCCCAGGACTCCTGGTCTCAGGGGTGGACACAACCAGAGCTCCCTCTGAGGGACATAAGGCTCCTGCAGGATTGAAGTGTGAGAGCCTGAGGCTTCCCTCTGACCCCCTCCTTAGAACAGAGCCCGGGGAGCACCAGGGATGGCTGGGCCACACTTCTTCTGGCCCTCTGCACATCTCTGACCCACCCGCCCTGGGGCTGGGCTCTGCCTGGGGGTCTCAGCCCTGGGGGCGGGGATGGAGGTGGACTCACCTGTCAGAGTGAGGTTAGTGCCAGGTGCAGGGGAGGCTGGGGAAAGGTGACGAGCAGTAGCTAAGAGGGGAAAAGTCCCTCAGTTCCTTAGGGCCTGGCGGGGGTGGGGGGAGGCGCGCGTGTGTGTGTGTGTGTGTGTGTGTGTGAAGGGTTCCTCTGCTCTGAAAGCATGAGCCACATTCTGGGAGGATGCCTACATTCTGGGCATCTTCCCATGGTTTTTGTCAGACTACTATGGGGCATCCCCAGGGCAGAAGAGATCAGAGTGGCCTGACCTCATTCCCAAGGGGACAGGAAGCCAGAAAAGGACCCCTCCGTCTGCTCCTGCCTTTACACCTGTGCTGGTATAGCCCAAGGCCAGTGCAGGCTGGAAAGGCTCCATCCAGCCCTCTTCAGATCACAAAATCCCATCCCACATGTGGCCCCCTGGTACTGGGGGCCCAGCAGGCCTGCGTACCCTTATTTAGTGGAGGCAAGAGGATCCTCAGAGACAGGCCCAAGTCTCAGGACAGTTCTTTGCCAAGCTGATATTTGGATGCAGGCCCCTCACACACACACACACACACACACACACTCTTAGGGCTAGTTTCTCGAAATAGGGACAACTACACTGAAACCTAGTGCTCAATAACAGAGGCCCAGAGTCTGGGAGACTCCAAGAACCACCAACCTGGATATCTCACTGGGCCACATGGGCAGGTCAGGGATGACAGGGAAGGTCCTGACACCCCCACTCTGTTCTGAGAGATGTTCAGATCCTGCCTCCCTCTGTGGGGGCCTTTGCTGATGGTGATACAGGGGCAGCTTGGCCTGTGGAAGTTGTGAGGTCAGCATGGCTGGAGCAGGTTTTCTTATCCCAGTGTGCAGGGGGCCGCTACGAGTGACAGCTAGGGCCTCAGTCCATGCAAACTGCCTCTGCGCCTCCCAGGCTGAGGGCAAGCTGCTGTGAATGTGAGGGTGCAGGCCAGGCCCTGGGAACAGGGTCCAGGTGAGCCTGCGGCAGCTAGGCCTACCTGTGCGGGTGTGCCGAGACTCTCTGTCACAGCCCTTCTTGGCTTATCTCCATCCTGTCCCCTCCTCCCTGGTGTGAAGCCCTCTCAGTCCCCATCAGGGGCCTGGCCACCCCCACCTCAATGCCTGCTCTTCCTTTGCTGTCCTCTGACCATTCCAGGGAAGCGCCTTTCTTAGTAACTGTTTAGTTTTAACTTCTAGGATGCTAGTGCCAGGATACAGAGCCTGAAGAAGAGGTTGAGGAACTCCCCTTGGACTTCACATGAAGCTTTTCTAATCTTAACAATATCTTTGGAAGGCAGAGATAACAGCCTCCTTTTCTAGAGGATGCTAAGGGTCCTGAAGATGAAATAATTTGCCCAAGTCCACACAGTGTGTTTGTGGCAAAACTGGGATTTGAACTTGCTCTATCTGTCTTCGAAGATTGGGCTCTTTCTACTATGTGATGTTGTCCCATTTTGTCAAGACTCCCACTGAATTTACCTCTGGATGAGCTAGGCTTCCTTTGCCTGGAAGGTGTTGAGAGGAAAAAGTAAGGGAAAATAATAACTGACTGAAGGGGACTCTAGCACCAGGAGAAATGCCATTTATTTGGGGGCCAGCTGGATACTGTGTCTGCTTGAGGCCTATTGTTACCACCTGGCCCGAGACTGCTCCCCTGGTACTGGCCCCACCCAGTGCCCTCCAGGCCTGACTGCCCCTCTCTCTATTCAGGAGGAAAATATTTGATAAACTTGTTCATCCAGAGGTTGTCCTCTCCCACTAGAATATATGGGAAGAAGTAGGACAATGCTATACCCTGAGGGATAATAATGCACCATTCAGGCCTGGGGGCAAAAGCACATGGGACCAGGTTGCCCCAGATTCCTCGTCTTCCAGCCTATGGGTTCAGGGCTTTAGGGTGTCTTTCTCCCAAGGGTCATCCCCAAATCTGCTCAAGTTCTGTCCAGCCCAGCACAGAGGGGAGGCTTTAGGAGAGTAACTGAATTGAAGGGGAGCTTCTGGAGCAATCAGAACTCTCGTCTGTTTTGTTCATCAAAATTAAAAATGGAGAGAATATATTTCCTGAAATGTTCCATGACTCAGCCTTGGTTTCCCAGCTACTGAGCATTCAAGCCACTACACACATGAGGTGCTTTGATGGAGGGGGGGTGGTCACCTATCACCAACCCCCCTTCCCCAGCTGTATCCATGCTGAGGCCAGATAACAGGCTGCTTCCTCCCCTGGGCTCCCCATAGTTCAGGGCAGACCTGCACATGAAGGGGGCTCACTTGGCCCAGAAGGCTGTGCCCTCAGCACTTGGCCCCGAAGGAAGCAGGATGTAATTTAGCAGTTAGTGAATCCTAGAGTATTTGTCCCTCCATTAAATTCACAAGAGCAAAAAGTTGTGATTTCACAATTGCCTCATCTGTTCTGAGTCACACCTTTTTGCATGCTTTTCCAAAGTCCTTTATAGGGGACGTCGGCCAGAGACCTGTGAGTAATGCTCAGGTCAACTCAAGGTTGCCTTTTAGTCACACATATATATGACCTCCTGCATTAGGTCAGTCCTGGATTTCTAAATATCCGGAAATCTGGGATACTTGTATACTCATATGCGCTTTCCTGGTGATTCAGTGGTAAAGAATCCACCTGCAGTGCAGTAGCCGCAGGAGATGCAGGTTTGATCCCTGGGTCGGGAAGATCCCACTGGAGGGCATGGCTACCCACTCCAGTATTCTTGCCTGGAGAACCCCATGGACAGAGGAGCCTGGTGGAATACAGTCCATAAGGTCACAAAGAG